CTGTCCACAGAAGCAATCAATCAATCAGATTCCAAACTCTCCACCATGGCCAAGACCAAAGAGCTCTCCAAGGATGTCAGGGACAAGATTGTAGACCTACACAAGGCTGGAATGGGCTACAAAACCATTGCCAAGCAGCTTGGTGAGAAGGTGACAACAGTTGGTGCGATTATTCGCAAATGGAACACAAAAGAACTGTCAATCTCCCTCGGTCTGGGGCTCCATGCAAGATCTCACCTCGTGGAGTTGCAATGATCATGAGAACGGTGAGGAATCAGCCAGAACTACACGGGAGGATCTTGTCAATGATCAAGGCAGCTGGGACCATAGTCACCAAGAAAACAATTGGTAACACACTACGCCGTAAAGGACTGAAATCCTGCAGCGCCCGCAACGTCCCCCTGCTCAAGAAAGCACATATACATGCCCATCTGAAGTTTGCCAATGAACATCTGAATGATTCAGAGGACAACTGGGTGAAAGTGTTGTGGTCAGATGAGACCAAAATGGAGCTCTTTGGCATCAACTCAACTCGCCGTGTTTGGAGGAGGAGGAATGCTGCCTATGACCCCAAGAACACCATCCCCACCGTCAAACATGGAGGTGGAAACATTATGCTTTGGGGGTGTTTTTCTGCTAAGGGGACAGGACAACTTCACAGCATTAAAAGGACGATGGACGGGGCCATGTACCGTCAAATCTTGGGTGAGAATCTCCTTCCCTCAGCCAGGGCATTGAAAATGGGTCGTGGATGGGTATTCCAGCATGACAATGACCCAAAACACACGGCCAAGGCAACAAAGGAGTGGCTCAAGAAGAAGCACATTAAGGTCCTGGAGTGGCCTAGCCAGTCTCCAGACCTTAATCCCATAGAAAATCTGTGGAGGGAGCTGAAGGTTCGAGTTGCCAAACGTCAGCCTCAAAACCTTAATGACTTGGAGAAGATCTGCAAAGAGGAGTGGGACAAAATCCCTCCTGAGATGTGTGCAAACCTGGTGGCTAACTACAAGAAACGTCTGGCCTCTGTGATTGCCAACAAGAGTTTTGCCACCAAGTACTAAGCCATGTTTTGCAGAGGGGTCAAATACTTATTTCCCTCATTAAAATGCAAATGAATTCATAACATTTTTGACATGCGTTTTTCTGGATTTTGTTGTTATTCGTCTCTCACTGTTCAAATAAACCTACCATTAAAATTATAGACTGATCATTTCTTTGTCAGTGGGCAAACGTACAAAATCAGCAGGGGATCAAATACTTTTTTCCCCTCACTGTATATTGTAACTATGAAGATATACATATAGAACATATCTTCGTAGATAAACTTTTATAGAGGCCGCTGTGACTACTGCATTCGAACATCTTTCCATCATCATACATTTAATCCATTCAACCTGCATGAAATCCAGTCTGTGCACTGCCCACATTTAGGGTTACATTAAATCTAAATCAGTGCATTCTATCCCAGCCAAAGGGCATCTGCAAAATGCTTTTCACAAGCGACTTTCAAAGCAAGAAGCCATGGTAACATAGGTACAAGATGCTGACCGTAATTTACATTCTCAAAATTAACAGCACAACGTCAATAAAAGCACGTCCTCTGAAAGACAAGCATATTTTTTTTTCGAAACACAGCGAGTAAAGCATGTCGTGATGTATTAATTAATCGAGTGTTGTTCTATTGATTCTTAAGACTCGCGGAACATGCCTCAAATTGCGTGCGTAAGGATCGGGTGATTTTCGACGCATGTCAATTAATTGAAAACAATAAGCAAACATTACATTCAGGATGAATGAGTGACTGAAGCTGTACCAAACGAGATGGACAAAAATGAGAGAAAAAAAAACACAAACGAAATGGGGCAAAAAAAAGGGGACGGGGAAATCCATTCTGGAATCGCATCGCGGCCTACCATCACAAAAATGTATTGAATCACCACGGGATGGTGGGATGTCAGGATGGAGTGGTCACTGAGGCGGGGGGCAGGGGGGGGTGATGAATAATTACACCCCTGGCAGTGAGCGAGAGTTCCCATGAGCGTGTCTGGGAGGCCACAGGTCCCCTACAATACAGGAGGCAGAGTCGCGGGGGCCGCACAGGCCCCTTGTAGCACCCGCCACCAGCCTTGGCCACCACCTCACTCGCAAGGCCACATTACTTATTAATGTGCCTAACTTATTCATGCGTTTATTTGCGTATTCATTTATTTCTGATGAATCGATGCCTATTAATGCCCTCTTATTTTAAATGCATTTATTTTGGTGCCCCGCGGTGAGGACAGGTACACGGCGGCAGGCTCAAGCCGCCGAGGAACTCGTCGTCAAGCCCCGGCGACGGAAACGTAGCTGCCTGGCGACCGCAGTTTATTTTTTTTTTTAAATCACTCAGGACCAGTCCGGTGAAGTATGATCAAACAACCATAAACCAACACGGCATAGGGAAGGGGCTCTTCACCTTCCACTGGATTGACAAAAACCTGTAAACTATTATAATAATGACCAGTGTGTGCAAAACCTAGAGGGGTGGTTTAATTCATTCATAGATTATTTTTGCTCGAATCCAATACACACATCCAATTGCATTTTTAAGAATCTATGTTTTTAAATTCATGTACCTTGTATATTATGGGTCACATGATATCTGCTGGCACTAGAGGCCGCTACGTTCACCACGATAAACAATAAAGGGGGAGCGAACTCTTACAAGCCCAGGGCTTACCACAACACGTGCGTGTGGATAAAATGTCACCGTAACCTGAGATTGATTTTATAATCTCTGTTTTGTAGCTGGTACTCAAATAGTATCTGCTATTACATACACAGGGAGTGGTGGCCATGGCTGTGTTCTTCCCAGCCCTGTGCAGGTACGAAAATCAGGCTCGTCAACAAGCCGACCACTAGCGTGCTTCCCAATCACACGGTACGAGGCAAAATTTGCCTCTCATTCCACATCTGCATCGATGAAATACACCAATGTGAACTGATCAGTGTCCTGCATGGTCAAACCATCTCTGTAACAAACATGCCTCGGGGAGGTCTTCATCTAATTGACAAAGTGAAGATCACATATATTTAGTCATAACGGCAAACACCGTACCGGTATGAGTAATAAAAATAAAATAAAAACCACGTTTCGATCACAACACAAGCGATCGTTAGGTCGCTTCTGACGATCGCTTGTGTTGTGATCGAAACGTCGTATTTTCGTTTTTTTAACCAAAAGAACCAAGAATAAGTCTACATTATAGACTGCCAGGACGCTCACTCAGGTTAAGAACCAGGCTACAGTCTAAAATATAGACCTCCAGTACACTCACTCCGATTAAGAACCAGACTACAGTCTACATTATACACTAACAGTACACTCACCCAGCTTAACAACCATTGCTAGTCTAAATTATAGACTGCCAGTACTCACTCTGATTAAGAACCAGGCAAAAGTCTACAATCGTGTTTTTTTATTCACTTTATTTTTATTATTTTTATTCTATCTACGTGACTTTACCTAAAGACCCAAAGAATATGAATTCCTGCAGTCACGAAAGTTTCAAGTCAAAATTTATTGTAACTTGTACAACTATTATATGATGGAAATATCTAATGTATTAGAATAGAAAAAATATACTAAACTACAAATAAGATGCAATAAAGGACAAACAATATCACTAAGATGTTAAAAACAGGACAAAAAAACCCATTCTGGAATCAAATCGTGACCCCGAAAAGCGAAATTTCATCGGATCACTGGGAGGGGCGTTATTAATGAAATGACTTGAAATATATATGTTCTGCACAGTCCTGAACCCAGAGCTTTTCCAAGCTCTGATGGCTTCCCATCATTGCCGGCTCAGAGCCTGTGACTTCCTCACCCTAACAGAAATAAAATTTGTCTTGAACTGCAGCACAAATAATCTAAATGATCCTATTCACCTTGCCACATCACATGCAAGCACCGGAAAAAGCTATCTTGGAAAACACACAACATGTGTTTGAAATTTGTACAAATGGTAACACGACTCAAAAGTAAAATTCCTCCGTGTGCTGGCTAACACTGTGAGATGCAATAACAATAAGGTAGTGCTGTAAAAATGAATCTTTCCACATTTTGTTAAAATACACACAGGTAAATATATAGCAATGTGTTTAAGCACACATCCATGCACACAGGGGTCAGCAAACACAAACCCAACATAAGAAAACATACCCTGCAAACAGACACTGCCAAAAAGCACACACAACACCTCACCGAACAGTCGTGTGTTTTATTGATGCAACAACACCCTCTTCTGTCTTCTTTTGGGAACACACACACTCTACCAATGGCAATCAAGAGGCCAAGACGTGGACTGCAAATTCTATTTCACCTTCTCTCATTGCGCACTGTGGCCAATGCCACCCCCCACTCTGTAGTGGCCAACGTTCAAGATGAAATGCCATTCATTCAGGATCCACCCCACAAGGCCTTGTTAACCCTTTCCCCATTCCGAGACGTCTGCAAGTTGCATGGTGGGTCCCGGTCACCGCTGAATCTCGCAATGCACAAGCGGTTAGCGTAAAATTTATTTAGAGAGGCATAGCACTGTTGTTTTAAAGACATTGTACTCACCGCAGAAAACTGTAGCAACATGACCGCAACTCTATAATCGCTGGTGCCAAAATGTGCCACACCCTCCCCCGCATGGCCTTGTGGGGGCCTTGTGGGAGCCTTGGTACGTCTTCCGACCTGAAGACGTACCTCTTCCGACCTGAAGACGTACCAATAAAGATATTTTATTTAAGTTTTTCTTCCGATTCCATTCCGATGACAGAATCGTAAGAATAATTGATGACGCACACATACATACGTCATCAGAACAGGAAAGGGTTCAAACGAACGGCCAAGAATAAAAACACGGACAAGGGCCATGACACCCGCCCCCACTCCCGACTACGATGACAATCGCAGGTGACAACACAAACTAGCTAAGCAGCTACGGCGCTCGCGCATCGCCCACCCCCACCTGTGATGCATCATCCTGATGACGGTCTTGGCCATTTCCGCAGGGAAGCGCACGTCAAGGCAGAAGTGGGCCAGGTGGGGTGGCAGGCCCTCGGGGAAGACCGGCAGGTGGTAGAGCAGCTGCAGGAGGTGCCTCTGCGTGGCGGCGTCTGCCACCAGGCTGCCCACTACCCCATCTGTCGGGTCTACAGGAGGGCAGCGTAACCAATCCGGCACTGTTACTATACCACGCAGCGGCTGGGTGGCCCACTGTTCTGTTGCAGCGCTCACAGGATTGTCCGTGTGTTTTTCCAACATTTAATAAAAATGTAATTACATTTTTTTTATAAATTCAAAATAAGCGAAGTTTCCGTACCATTCTGACTGCACTATACAATAACAGTCTACGCAGGAGAAAGATGGAAAAAAGATTATTGATAATTGATGGACAATGATGGATGATGGATAATTTATGATGGTTGATTGATGGATGATGATGAAATAAAGGGAAAAGATAAAACCAAGCGGGCACTTGAACAACAAAGTCGCAATCACAAAAATCCCGGCAATTGTCTGATAAACTAGAACCTGCAACTAATCAACTGTCATTGCCAACCTCTTCACCCAGTTCACCTTTCTCTATCTGAAGAAGTTAATGAACAGATCTCACACCTTTGTGTACTCCTCCATTCACCTGTTTCAGGTGATTGGAGCTGTTGCTCCAATCACCTGAAACAGCGTAAGACTTAAATTAAGGCTGTTAATGATGATTTAAATGTTTGAATAGTTAAATTTACAGTGTTATGTTATAATGAATGTGCAACACAACTCATGTATTCCATTGTTTTTTTTTAAGTGTTATTACAAGGATTTATGAACCATGCTTCAATTCTCTCCAAAAATAAAAATCAACCACGCACATTAAGGCACAAGCATAATATCATACGATCATTTATGAGATTAACAGATATGCCCTGTTCATTTGTAACTATATTTGAAACTGTATTGTACTATTTTCACCATCAGCCATGATCTATCCACTGCTGGATGTAGGGCTCCCCACAGTGTCACCATTCCTCATGGTCCTGCTATGCTTCTGCATTTCAGCTGATCTCGTTACTCCATCTCCGTGGCAAGCAACCTCCTTTGGTCGCAATTCAGTCACCGGTCTCATCCAAAGCTGATCATCCCTTTGAGTAATGTGTCCCTGCCCAAACCCACTTAATTTTCTCAAAAGTCAATGGAATGTCTCATTTGCATTTGACCTCTTTCTATCTCTCAGTGCAGTTCCAATCAGTGCATATTAACCTCCTATGACATATGGATCGGAAACACGCATATTGACAAAGAAAATTGAACAAAAGTTTAACATCATGCAAAGCAGCATCGTGTAATTGTACTAATCTCCCATAATTCTGTCCCTGAATAATAGGAACCAAAGAAAACATTCCTGAAGAAACAAATGCAAACATGAATTAAAACTATTGATTTGCCATGCACGCTGATGCAGTATGTGACAGGCATTTCCACCGCGTGACAGATTAGGATTCACACAATCCGCAACGATGCTGCTGCTGCTCAATGTCCCTCTCCCTGTGCACACAGCGACCCCCACCGCCCCCCCTCCCCCCCCCCCCTTTCTAACTCGGGTGAACGTACCGTAGATGTGGCACGCGTGGGTGGACAGGCTGGCCAGGAGGTTGCTGTTGGCGTGGGCAGCAGCTGACCGGATGACCTCCACGAGCTCAGCCGAGAACGCGGGGCAGCGAGCACCCAACTGAATAAGCTGCGGCGGCAGCGTCATGAGCCAGCGGGACAGCACCTTGCTCCTGAAATTAACCGCCGGTGGCAGGGCCACAAATTCGAAGTGATGCATTCTCTATCTTAGAGTGGAAAAATCCAACAATTAGCACACGTGTTTACATCAGCTGAGATGTATAAAAAATACCATGCACAAATGCTTTTAAATAAAAAGGAACACTGGTACAAGTGTCCCGCCTGCCATCTCTACAGTTCTCATTCTCACCAAATACGGCAACCCCAGCTTGACGAGGGCATAGAAAACTACAGTAAAAAATACAGCAACATAAGTACTGACAAACACAGGACACGTTAAGAGACCTCTTCTGAAGAAATTGTCTCATTTATAGCCAGTTTCTGCACACGCGCGCGCATAAACGCAGGACCGCAGCAGCTGTTTTTGTCGTGACCCCCTCGCAGCCACGAGATGCATTTAACACCGAACTCTCTCCCCTCTGTGGGAGACCCTCGCCGTCCTCCACAAAATACCTGCGCACGTGGACCGAGGTTTCCCCCTCGTCCACGTAAAGGCTGCGGAAGAAACGCAGCATGCGCAGGCGGTTGGCCACGGTGACGCTGCGCTGCTGGTACTCCGCAAACACGGCGCGCAGCAATCCCTCCACACGGGCTGCGGGGGCACACACGCCGGCAGGACGCGCAGAATCACTGTCTGCAACTAGAACCGATCGCCAAATGCCCCGGAAACGCCTCTGCTTCCTCCAGCCCAGGGACACGTATTAATTTAAGATAATGTCAAGAAACACAAGCAATATATATATTTTTTTTTTGACCTAACGAGCACCGACTCGCTCGTATTAGAGAAAGCACAACCCCAATTCTTTACGTTGATTGGAAGTGACTGCTTACGCTGGTGAATTCCTCAATTTTTTTCTGAAAAAAGTCTTATTCTTCCAAGTAACAACCGCTAAATTGCCATGGCGTTATTAGTAGCAAGGAAACATTTACATTTTCATGGGTCGCAAAGTACTCATGTCGAAAAATGTTGTGCAAAGCTGATGATGGGTTTTAGCTCTGCTCTTCAAGCAAAATGCCTCCACTATCAGTCAGGAGGTTAATGTTCTCGAGTATTAAACATTTTATGGGTGCTGCGCTTTCTAATAATGTTAATTGCATTTTAGGCAATTAGTAAAAAACTTAAATAATACTTACAAGTTCAACAACCTGCACAGCCATCATTCTAAAAGTCCATAAAGTTGTACAAGTTTACCCTTTGAAGCTGTAAATTTTAACAGTTATTCCCGCATGCAACCAAGCAACCAGTTTCTCTTCAGTTCAACGTTAAATTTTGACCACAGTGAAAATGCCATCTCTCTAGCCAAAGCCTATTTAACCAGCCACGGGACGTGTCGACTTTACAGTTATGCTGTAATATAGTCTTACGTTAAAGCATGTGACCTGTGCTGCGAACTTCCTGTTATAAAACGCTCAAAATTGCCTCGGAGTTCAAGCGATGCCCATCAAGGAATACCTACAGTCACTAATTCACCTTTGCACAAGACAATAAAACTCTGCTCTCACGAACATTACATTCTACAAGGTGTTTTTTGTCTCAAGGTGTTGTGTGTTAAAAGACGGCTGAATAACTGGAAACGGCAACTCAACTCTACACACACAATGGCTTTCCAGTAGAACAGTACATCACATGAAGACCATTTAGCCAATGTTAAAAGTGTTGGAGTGGATATTCAGTATAGTGGTGGTGGGGGCAGCACAAGAACACCCTACTGTATTGACAGTGCTAAATGGTAAAACAAATTTCCAATATTAAAAGCTTAAATATAAGTAGAACTTCTTTGTGTAGCTCCACATGTAAGTAACTCGCCTTTTGCCCATCCAAGGACGGGTGTATTGAGTAAATATGAAACTTGCAAGCGAAAAGCAGACCGCGACGTGATATTCATTGCATCAATTCGTGTGCAATTTGTAAGGCTGCGGTGACACAGACCTATTTCATTTTAAGGTTATAATCCCTTGTTCATCATGACGTCATTTTTACTTTGATGTCTCAACAACAGCGTCACGGAGATCACGTGACGTGAGGGTTCTGCCTTTGTAGTGAGGGTTGTGAGTTGACGCTGAGGAGGGGGGAGGGGGCGCCTCGCCCCCCCATGTGGAGTGACGTCGGCCGCTAATTATAATTAATGGAGGGGGGGGTGTCCATTTGGAGGCCGTCACCTGTTAATGATTATTAATGAGGGGGGCTGTTCGATGCGGAGTGACGTCACCCACTCATGATTATTAATGAGGGGCGGGTCCATGTGGAGGACGTAACATCTTCATGATTATTAATGAGGGGGGGGCTGATCGACGTGGAGTCACATCACACGCGTGACACACTGACATTCTTGGGTAAGTATAGTGGTAAATATATTTTTAGTCCATTTGCCTATTGGCTCTTCCAGACGAATCTTATCAAGCAGCATTTAAGCAATCAAACTCTGGACCGATTTCAACTTTCAACAGCAGTCAGGCTTGTAAAACAAATACTGCTGGGTTACAAGGTATGAACACTCCAAATAAATTATGGACCCCATTGAACACAACAGCATTAAGAACAGACAAAATAGGAAAGACTTGATTTTTTACTCGTGATTCAGATGAAATACTACAATTGTCACTTGGAAAAAATAGCATAAGATGGCAACCTTCTGGCTGTGCCTATTTACCAATCCCAACCTACACTTCAGTTGACAGTTCTGCAACCGTGATGTTGCCGCTGGACAAGCCAAACATTCCCTGGTCATCCCTTCTGCCTCCCTGCCATTCCTACCTTTAATTTTTCTCCCCAACATCATTTATTTGTCCCCTGTCCGATCCGTTGACCAAAATGTATGCTACCTACACCGACGCTTGCCTGGCCACTCCTCACTCTTAAATACATCCACCTCCCATCTTTGTCTTTGGCAGCACTTACCCAAGTTCTAGGGTACTCTAGAACTCATGTAGGGGCTGCCCTTGGACTAACTGGTGAAAGTCCCTGGCTTTCCATTGGTGCAGGGTGCCGACCCCAAGACCGGTTGGTGAATAGGCCTGGCTCCACGTGGGTGCCCTGGGAGTTGTTGGTGCTGCCCGACCTCCCCCGACTGCTCCTGGGGCTTTTATTGTTGGTGCTGGGCCCCGGATTCTCCTTCCCAGGCTGTGCTGCATTGTCCCTCTCTCTCTCCCTCTCTCTGTCCCTAACGTGATTTGTTCCACCAAACGTCCGGAATTTAGATGCCCTATAAATTCACAGTTGTTATTTAGGATCATATATATATTCACACTACACAATAATAATACAGTATTCCTTCCAAAATACCAAGAGACATAAACAAACACTGGATCTTACGGAGCTGTTCATCATGTTATTTGCGCCAATGGGTCGCAATGCATACGTAAAATATTCCATTGCATTACTAAGTGCCAGGAACAAAAGTTACCAGGCACAATAACTGTATGCAGGACTGCATTAGACTTTTTTTGTGTAGAGCCATCTCTATTATGCAAAAATGTATGGAAAAAAAACACTAATATGGTGAACCCCCCCATTCTATGTCATTATGACAGAATCACAGATTAGGACTGGAAAATTCCATCCCTAGAGGCACAAAAGGCACAACGAAGAACGGCAAACTTAGGCACCTCACACAGACGCATCACCTGCGCCACAGATTATCATCCTTTTAACTTGCATTTGCATAACAAGAGTTAAACTTGCTTTGCGCGTTAATAAAATATGACCACCAGTCTTGGGAGCCTTTGTGTTGGTGGCAGCAGCAGTACTATAGAACCATTGTTTTCTCCATCTGGCAAGTGAGTTATAAAGGCAAGAAAATGCATTTTTAACTTGCGATTAAGTGCTGATTACTGCCTGTCAATTATGTCTTGATATTTTTATCCCACACTCCAAAGCTACATGGGCAACAATTAAAGCAGCTTTGTGTGTCATGAAATAATAAACAAAAACTTTGTGTCCTCAAAAACAATCCATATGAAATTAATGCAAATTAACAAAAATGCAGACAAAGACAATGAAAGCTGAGCATAAATGTTAATGGAAAATACAATTCTCAGAATTTAAGGTGTAGGAGGCTAAAACACAATTTATTGTGCAATAATACACACCTCTGGATTTCAAGTAAGCCACGAGCAGTCAGACATGCGGCACAAATGCAAAACCAATGGTCCACTACACTTAAACCGGAGCAGAATTGCAACAGCAATACTCAAATATCCCCCATGTAGCCTTCAACAGACTGTTGGGGTAAGTGCCGGTTGGCACCACTTAAAGGCAACATGGTGCTCGGGGAAGTGGTGTAGCCAGCACGGCACCTGGTGGCCATATTTTTCTCCTCATTGCTGACCAATACACACCACACCAGGTCCTCATTTAAGGCCGAGTCGACCTAGGTGAGGCCCAGGACTAGCTCATACATTCGCCAATAATTTTAGCAGTGGACGAAAATCACTCTGTCTACCAGGCTCATCGTGCAGTGTGATAAACCACTACGATACTGCGTGCGTGCATGCGCGTGCATGCGCGCACGCAAGCTTTACAGTCACTCCCTGTACACGCACCCTGCACGATCTCCCATCCGCTCTCGGCAGCCCTGGTAGAATGCACACAGCTCACCCGTACCTTGAGTGTGCAGAGTGGCCAGGAGTGTACGGACCACAGCCAGCACCGTGCCGAGGTGAGTGGAGGGCAGGCGGCTGCCCCCGGAAAGCAGCCCTGCCACGTAGTGCTCCACGGGCTCCAGGGCATCCGGCTGGGCGGCACGACGCCCCGCCGGTACTGTCGCCGAAGCTCCCCACCCCCCGGGCCCGCAGCCGTGCTCTGCCACGGAGGCCAGCAGCTCGGCCAGGTTGAGGTTCAGACCCAGGACAGTGTCTTCCGTTACCTCGGTTCTGACATCCACATTGCAGGGTGGCCGCGCACAGCCAATGTGTGACACGTGCCAGAAACACACACAATGGTTTAAACGTTTGATGGGATACTTACAAAAAAGCTTCATGTAGATCTGCAAATGGAAGGGGTTACTGCAAGGGTTTTCCAGGATGTGCTATATAGCTCTCCAATGTATTTAGAGAAAGTGCTTGAAGTTCCGAGTACATGGAGAAAAAAGTGGCACGTTCAGCTCAACTACGCATGGTAAGTCCTGAAACACACATTGGTAAGCTATGGATATGTTTGCGATTGTTTTTCCTCTTGCAACCGTCTTTAATATTGTTACAATAAATATTTGGTTTAAAACATGTGATAGAATACGGGTAAAGATTTTTTAAAAACACTATAAAGAGTTAAAATAGCCACAAACCTGCAATAACACGTAGCGCAGGTTTGCCTCACAGCAGTTTGCATTGAGATACATTTTGTTTTTACAGCTCACATTTGCCCCCTGGTGGCCAATACGCCTTAAAGCATGCCCCACCGGTCAATGCCTTGCCATCCCCACTTACAATAAAGTAAATCCCAGCCTGTCCACATGTCAACCCTTCAACATATTTTACTGGATAATGCCAAGGGTCACCTACACCTAAGAGTATCGTGCACCCAAGTGTCTATTGCCGTGTTTGCTGCAAAATGGAAATTACGGAAGTCAGACCGTGCTGGCCGGACTTAAAATAATTAAAGACGTACCCTTTTATCGCTCCTTTTTGCTTGGATTTTCTTGCCACATTCTCACACATGGAGTACGGAAAATTCTTCAAGAAGTGTGATTTGAAATCGGTGAAATATGTGTCCCGGAAAAATGTTCCCTGGAAACGAAAAATACCAAAAATGTCAACCAATTAAATATAAGATTCGCACACATCACCTGCAGTACCAACCAAAAAACAAGAATAAAAAAACACAATACATTTATTGGATCGATGCCACAATGTTAACAACGTGCTTACAACAACAAAAATACATTCTTGAAAACCGACATGAGCGTGGGCCTCACCAGGGTGCGACCGTGCCGGATCACCAGCCTCCACAGCAGGAGCATCGTGTTGGCTACCTGCACCATGACGGCCAGACCCTCACTACCTGGGATGGGCACGTCCCCATCCTGCGTGGCCAGAGCCGCCTCCACCCAGCACTCCAGAAGAAGTGGCACTAGGGTGTGCACGAACGTCCGAACGCCCTCCGGATGGGACAGGTCATTGTCAACCACCATTTCGCTCGAGTTTGCCATGCTGACTGGACTGAGAAAAAAATAATGCATTTTACAGAGTGCCTCTTTGGTTAAGTGTTAAATAGAATTAGTATAGAATTCGTTTTATGTGAAAAAAACTGTCATCAAACGCAATTTTTTACTTGTCCGCTTATCAAAAAGCCACGAGTTAAAAAATCACTTTGGAGTAAGTCAGGTCAAAGTAATTTCCTGCTCAAATGACCTTTGCCTGGCCAATAATCTCCCAGTGATATGTAAATCCAATATAATTTTGTGGGACGTTAACAGTTGTTGTCCTATAAAAAGTCTGGCCCCCTCTAAAGGATTGTGGAATTTACACCACTGTCTCAGGGTCATCAACAAAAATGATCACTGTTCCATGCTCATTTGAGTGGGGAGAAGCGTCAAAATTATAGCCAGGCTAAACCAGTTGGAACAGAAAAGTCTCCCTTCTATTCCACCATGTGCGGCTTGATGGAAGGTGATGGATGAGGTTTTGTGACATTGCAAAATGTCGGCGCAGCCACCAATTATAAAGCGGCCCGATTATTCGATCACATAAAAAGTAGTTAATTAAAATGTTACAGACAAATGCCTAATCGTACCGGCTCTAGTTAAATGCTCACCATAGACGAAACGTCGTGGCCAGCATGGGCCGTAGTCCCGAGTGTTCAAACACCTCGACGCCCCTCTGGCAGCTCGGCCAGTCCACGTGCAATGCCTCCGCAGGGCGCACCTCTCCCTCCCCATCCGTCTCTCGATGCACAGCGCCCAGGAAGCGGGCGAGGCGCACCAGCACGCGCAGCCGCCATTGCTGGGACGTGAGCTGCCCACTGGGGTTCACGAGGAGGCGCCGGGGCGCTTTATCTCCCTTAGCCTGACCACAGCGAACAAACGGGCAAAAGCACCGCGTGGGTGAAGACACACACATGTACCGTAATAGTATTTTAGAGACGAATTGCTACATCGAGCAACGATTATGACGAGGCAACTATTCGCATGCCTCCAGTGAATCCTATAAAGCACAACAGGAGTACAGGTTTCTGGATTGTGCATTTTGAATACCATCTCACTATGTGCAAAAATACTCAACAGCCCAGAACCTTCTTTCTAACAACTTGAGACTCACGCGAGGGATTCATTTGTTAAATAAAGACTGTTACTGCTGTAAATAAACAAGCATCGATTTAAACATTGATTAAATTAATTGGCCAAATATCCCAACAGAATCAGTAAGGCTTTCCTGGGTAAAGGACATTATTTATTATCGGTAAGACTGCTGGCGTTAAAATGCTGATTGTGCAATAACAATACAAAAGTATAGGTTAAATGGTACCAACAAGGAACCGTTTGTTCAAACACATTTCTCACTTCCACTAGAAAACACCCCAGGGCACAATGTACTTAGAAGCTATATCATTATCATTTATTATTTATACCGCACTTCCAAGGCAGTAATTCTCGAGGTACCAGAACAAAGGGGAATGTCAGATAAATACTCGGTTTAAGGAAATCGTTGCAAATCAATATTAACGCCCAAAAATAATACAATATACAGTAGACAACATCCCCCAAAAAAGTTGAACAGCTAAACTGTGTTTGAGACTCCTGTATATATTCGTACACTATTTTAAATGAGAAGTCTTTAAATGAGCACTTAAATTGAAAATATTGCGTGCATTAATATACATGCCTGGCAAGTTGGTCCACAACTTTGTAATTAAGGGTAACAAAAACTGGCCCCCAACCTGCGAGCCTCCCCGTGAGATGAGCTGGACGAACAGGCCCAGCAGTCGCAGGCCACTGGCGGTGCGCACGAGCAGCTGGGGCAAAGTCTCGAGAATCGCGTCGAGGGCCTGCAGCGCGTCCAGCTGCACGCCCTCGCTCAGGTGCGTCATGGCGGACGCCAGGTGAGCGCTCAGCGTTGGCACGAAAGGCGAGAGTCGGGCGGCATCCACGCGGGGGTAGATAGAGCGCAGCACGGCCACCACGCCCTGCCGCACCACGGCCTCGCGGTCGGTGAGCAGCGGTGTCACCTGATCCACCAAGGACGGAAGATGCTGGGGGACCAGCTCGGGGTGAGCCTCCACCAGCTCCTTGAGTCCCCCCAGGGCACCATGCCGCACGGTCGTGCCATAGTGGCGCAGCTGCGTCAAAAGGGTCTGTGTGCGACAACAGACGGTGACACACGTCACGTGTTGCTACTTCCGACGCACGCAGACACGGGAGTTAAAAAAAATTAGTACTTTTTGGGAAATCAGCAATGGCTGTCCACTGTCTAGTTAGTATAATCCTCATAGCTGAAGGTTGACGCCCTTGAAAGATGCATTCAATCTTTTGTAATATTCATCATCTCATGTACAGTCCCATCCAGCGACTCATTTTGTACCACTGATCTGTTTCCTTCCTCTTCCATTTTCCCTTGCAGAATCATCTTTGAATGTCAAGCATGTGCAAAGTTATTTTCATCAGACTTAAGACGCTATCTGGTACCCATCAGATTAAAGTGAATGTATTTGCATCTCTAGCTTAGAACCTTCAATGGAGACGAGTACAGTGTGATGCTCGTTTGAGCATTTTTCAACACATTGTGACTTGTTTACTGCGATTAAGTTGCAATGTCACAAAACAGTCACTCACACCCACCAAAGTGGCTTAATAATAATTGACAACTCATTGCGCACAAAAGGAGCAAATTTAACAGCGTACGCTCCACTTTGTACGCATGTACGTTGAACTTATTTTGCACAGTACATAGCCGACAGTGCTAATCAGAGGTGCATTAGTCGTTTCGAATACATTTTGTACGTATATAAAACCAACTAAATGTTAACACTTACATCAATGCTAAGTTTGCGCTTGGTGGTGGGCTGCGAGCCGGTGGCCTTGAGTTGTTCTGGGACGGTAATAGCGCGCGTCTTAAAGTTCGTGTTGGTCTCATTGTCAGCCCTGGGTTTCTTCTTCCCAACCTTGAGCTTCACTTTCTGGAAGTCGGTGTCCCGCTGTCGTTTCTTCGTCATTTTCTCTTATATTTCTCGATGCCTTAAGACAGCAGTCATCCCGCACATTGGGACACCGCAAACGTTAGGTCTCAATTTTCTTACATTGCAGTTACAGGAACTGGTCATCAAGTCCACGAAGCACAGTATACATGCCACGCTCTCTATGGCTTAGAAACAAACACCATATGGTGTTAACAATATAAATTCACACTTTAATGTGTCTGCATATTGAAGCAACATGCACCCCTATCACTTTCAGTCCGCACAAAGCAATTTTACAATGCAGTTTTAAAAGCACAATATCGTTATTGCTAGAGTTCACTGTGCAGGTATATTATGGTAGTGTATGTTGTTTAAAATTGTGAATCAAGTGATACTTGTGTACATGCACATTTATATCTGTATATAGTATACAACGGTATGTTTCATTACATCACCGAGTAATGTATAATACTATAAGGTAGTACACGCCACGAGTGAATAGTGGTTGTGCCCAGCCCCTCTAAGAACGTCACATTTCACTGGCTCAGGGCTGCCAACGGAGATCAGCAGGACATTCCTGGGTGATTATAGCCGGTATACGCGTTATGGGCAACAGAGGGTGGTGCAACAAAATTCAGTTCTGTACTTTGGGACCGTCCATAAATGACGTCACGCACTTGGGGGGGGGGGGTTCAGACATTTGTGACGATGTGACGAGGGGGAGGGTCAAAAAGCTGCCAAAATCGCATGACGTCATTTATGGACGGCACCTTTCCCAAAAAACTATTTTATTTTACCAGGTAAGGCACACTGAACTACAGAGCTCTTTTTCAGAAGCGACCTGGCTACAAATGATAAGCTCAAATTTAGTGGCGGCTTATCACGTGGACACTTCAATCGGCCAAATACTCCAAGCGCATGTTTATAAATGTGGAGGGAAAAAAGCGGAAGCCTCAAGAGAAAAATCCACGCGACCTCCGGGAGAACGTGCCAACTCCAAATACAGCACGTGTGTATATATACACACATGCGTCAGGGTCGGGATTGAACCCACGGCCTCATGCACACCGGACGAGGTAGTCAACATCTCGCCAGCGCAGCGTGGTGGATCCTCATGATCGCCGAGGCACGTTTTTGTTACGTTGTGCAATATTCCTTCGGTCCATGTACTCGGTTCACGGCAATGTTTGTTTGTCCCTTGTTGCTGCTTCTGCTGCTGCTGCTGTGTTCACGCACCACGGACCTGCCTTGCAAAACAGCCGTGCAATCGGCTAAGCGGGATCATTCTATTCACAATATTTCAAGAGACCGCAATGCATGTTGTGAATGCGAGACGGTGGTACTTAATAACGTCACGAAACAGTCCGTAATGAGCCGCAGGTTGCCGAACCCTGCACATGGTGAACTGGACTTCCATGGTGAACTGGACCTCCATGGTAAACTGGACTTCGACGGTCAGGGGTCGGCAAACAAAATAACAAGACGAGGCATTTTTTTGTTTATTTCAAGAGCCACACTGTAGTCCTTTAAGAGCCGCACGCGACTCCGGAGCCGCACGTTGCCAACACCTGGTGTAACAAATCAAACAAACTCACAACAATCCACCATGGGTAAGACAAATGGGGAGGGGGGGGAGGGTGTACATAAATATTGAGTTGCCACACTCACCCCGCGTCCGCGCTGCAAAAAGAAATATCCCCCCCCTGGGCCTCCTCAACAAGACCGTGATGTTGTCATACTCAGCGCGGCGGCGATATCCAATCCTGCCGTTGCTGATAACGAAGTAATCCTGCTGCTGCTGCTGGCGGTGAAAATGACGAAGATCACGCGGTGAAGACGTCCAACGCGGGAGCGCGCACGTGGCTCCCGGCAGTGTGCGGAAGCACGTGGCGGGCTGGTGACGACGACGCGGGGCGGAGTCCCAGCGCGGACGTCGCGTGACGATGACGTCACGGGAAGGGCGCCTCCCCGGCACCGGATTTTATCTTGTTGGTTCTCTCGGTAAAGTCACGTAGAATGGAGATAAAATAATAATAAAAATACAAATAATACAAATAAAAATTCGCACCACGTTTCGGAGGAAACACATCCCCATTCTACGTGACTTTACCGAAAGAACCAAGAAGATGAATCCCTGCAGTCACGAAAGCTTTAAATCGAAATTTTACCGGATTTTATTGTAATTGATGTTTCAGAATGCAGAACCCTGAAGTCTCACGCTAACTCCGTAACGCTTTCGTTAATAATCATGAGCGGGTGACGTCACTCCATATGGAGCACCCCTCATTAATAATCATGCAGGTGACGTCACTCCACATGAAGCACCCCTCCCCCCTCATTAATAATCATGACTGGATGACGTCACTCCACACAGAGCACACCCTCCCCCCCTAATTAATAATCATGACGGGGTGACGTCACTCCACACAGAGCACACCCTCCCCCCCTAATTAACAATCATGACTGGGTGACGTCATCCACACAGAGCACACCCTCCCCCCTAATTAATAATCATGACTGGGTGACGTCATCCACACAGAGCACACTCTCCCCCCCTAATTAATAATCATGACTGGGTGACGTCATCCACACAGAGCACACCCTCCCCCCCTAATTAATAATCATGACTGGTGACGTCACTCCACACAGAGCACACCCTCCCCCCCTAATGAATTGCAATTCGCCCGTCCTTGTACGGGCTATAGGCGAGTTAATAATATAATGCTCACAATAACGATGGCCATTTGTAACAGGGATGCGATGAATCCGGCGACAGAATGAACGCTAGAATACGTTAGTGCAGAAGGAAGCCAATCGGCGTCAAGGGGTGGCCTGAATACTGCATGGGGGGCTGGTTTTTTTCTATTCTTGCTGATCCACAAATCGCCTCTTGAGAATTCAGGTTCTCACGCGACAGGAATCGCTTTTTTAACGATTTAATAAATTTTGATTTGAAGCTTTCGTGACTGCAGGGATTCATATTCTTGGTTCTTTCGGTAAAGTCACGTAGAAGGGAAACAATAAAATAATAATACAAATATAAAACAATAAAATTCTCACGACGTTTCGACTGCAACACAATGCAATCATCATCAGGTGTGAAAACCACAGCAAGAACATTTTCTTGTTTCATATTTTTATTATTTTATTGTTTCCCTTCTACGTGACTTTACCGATTTATTAAATGTTGCGCAGTGGTCAAAAACATACATATCACAGCTTGATCCGTGCTCGAACGATTAAAGGTGCATTGAAAAATTTGATACTCCGACTGATGCTTCTGTTGTTGTGGAGTAACTCATGCAGCCAGCTATGACTCTAGGATTTGGTGTTACATGTTATTTATGTAGTTTATTGTAAAAATTCGGTCACAATCCCTGTGATCACTGTTACGTTGCAATTATGGCTTTATTTTTCGGTGATTTCGAAAAGTTTTTTGGTTTGGACATGTTTGTTTTGTTGTAATAGGAGTTAGACTGATGGCCTTAATCTAAGTTTTCTTGTGGTTGTTGTGGTTGTTGTTTGACTTGCATCCCACTGGGATTTTTTTGCACACAGCGTTGGTGGTGTACAGTGCTTTTTTCAGGAATATTTTGCTGGGTTTTTTTTCATGGATATTCTGTTTGCACAGTCACAAAGTCACTTTAAGATGTTTTCTTGTTCGTGTTTTAGTTATTTTTGTTTGTTGTGGTTGCACCCGATTCAAGAGCCGAATGGCTCACAGGGCTATACCAAAATAAATAAACTGAAAAAAACTGAAACTGATTCCCGTTCACTGCATCGGTGTTGCCAACTTCGCCGATTTTGTCGCTTGATTTCCACCCGACACAGCCAAACACACCAAGGTGTTGGATTACCAAAATACGTGCCAATCGATGTCGTTGTGATGTTACAGCTGTCTCAGTGCTCTGTAACAGGTCCGTGACTCAAGCTCCCTCGATGTGGTCTCTGATCCCAAGCCCCTGGGACCCCTCTTTTCAACAGCACCAGATGTCGTAACCAGACACCGAACAGCACAATCTGGAACAATCGGATTCTGATACACGCAAATTATCACGGCTCCGTAATGCAATAATGTTATTCATTCCTTCATGAAAAAAATAATTTACTTTCCAAATGATGGGCCACCTTGTTGAACTATCATTTGTGGCCAGGTCTCTTCTGAAAAATAAGTTCATACCTTAGTGGGCTTTGCCTGGTAGGATGGGGATGGTTTAGTAGTATTTGTACGTGTTTGGGTGATTCGTTTACTTTTATTGAACTTTGTACTACTACTATCATGTTTTTGTACTGTTTGTTGTAACGTTATTACCCGCCCCTTCTGGACATCTGTGAAAAAGAGCTTTATAGCTCATCGGATTTCTCCAGTATAAATTAATGTTTGTATTTCTGATTTTGTATTCTTTTGCCCTGAACGTGTGTAGGGCACTTATCCCAACATACCTTCAGCACATCAATCATGCAGGCTGTAATGTTTGTACATTGCCATGAGCTTTTAATACTGTTATTAAAATCCGCACTTCATGCCCAGCTCATTTTTAAAACCTCCACTCAATGACTTATTTACGTTCTATTTCCTAAATTAGCTAATAATTTTAATTGATGCGAATCCATAATACATCGTTAACGTAAGAGGTGCAGTAAAAACACACCGACATTATTATGGTCGCGCATTCAACAACAGTAATAACAGCCATTCGCCACGAAGTGCCGGGGGCATCACGACGGCGCTTGTGCCAGGCTAGGTGCACCTTTAGCCCATGTGAAGTGTCGTAGACTTGCGCATCCAACACACATTAGGACACAATACAGTAAGGAGATAATAGTCATCATTTAATGTCATTCCTCCTATTATCCAGGCCATAGCTGACCACATACACCCTGTGCTGATTTTCATCCCTCCAGCGAGGTTGATGATAATCGTATTTGAGAAATAACCTTGTATAGCCACACTTTCAACTTTCATTAAGGAGCAAATACTTACTAGCCGTGTTAACCTTTCAGCCCATACAATAACGATTGGGAAAATAGGATATGATCTTCTATTTACATTGTATATTGCTATCCGCATAGATCGTGTCTTTGACCACAGGCTGCAACAGTGGACAGCAAAATACAGATTCCTAACTTCTGAATTAACTATGCATTGACATTTAAGCTGAACTAAGTGTCCAATCGGTGGGTTTAATCACAATCATCACATTACGTGTTTAGGTATGTGCTTCCTTAGGCAGACGTGGAACGAATGCAATTATCTGCAATTTGATGATCAGCACTCGACCCGTGGCTCTTTGTGGTCACAAGCTGGTGCTAAAAATGCGTCAACTGTGAGCAAATCAGAACTTTAAATAGACAACATGTTATACGTCCTGTAAAAAAAACTTCTTATTTCGCACGGATGAATAGCAGCAGATTAAAGATGTAACTTTCGATTTGTTATCCACTCCATTGTCTGTTCAGACGCAGAGTGGATCTCGTCCGTTCTTCCTTTAAAGGAGTGAAGATATCAGCAGAGTGTTTACGATGTGGTCGATGGTTTGAGATTGGTGGCCGCATTCGCAAGCTGCCATTTGTGCATCAGGTGGCCACATTGGCCATGCCCGGTCCCAATTCGGTTGATGGTCCTCCATTGGCGGTGTGGAAGGTTGAAACCGGAAGGTTCGACGATCGGGTCCTGTATGAGATGTTTATTATTAAATGTACTTTATGTGTGTGTGTGTCACACGTATGCCAAATAGAGAATGTAGAGATACTTTCTGTTGATCTGAAAAGGAGCTCACCCTTGCCATATGACATTTTGACACAAATCTGTTGTAATCAGGCTCACTCACCTGCCACTGTTTCAATAGAGAATACTCCACCTCTCAGAGCAATGCACGCTGGCTCATTGATACTATGCACACTTCTGCTTTTAAATATGCTGTTTATGTCCACCATTGTTTTATGTTATACAAAATAAGAGCCACAACACAAAATGAAAGTAGGCTTAGTCTAAATCTTGACTTAAAGCTTTCGTGACTGCAGGAATTCATATTGAACCTATCTACGTGACTTTACCGAAAGACCCAAAGAATATAGGCTTTGTCTTTCATACAGAAGGGTTAGGTGGATAACAGTTATCTAAATTTAGATTTAAAGCTTTCGTTCGTATTTTTTGTTCTTTCGGTAAAGTCACATTGAAGGGAAACAATAAAATAATAAAACATATATAAAACAATAAAATTCTCACGACGTTTCGACTGCAACACAAGCAGTCATCATCAGGTGGGAAAACCAACGGCAAGAACATTTGAAAGAAGTGGCGGCTTTATTTATTTATTTTTAAACATTATAAAAAAATACAACCCGCCACTTCTTTCAAATGTTCTTGCCGTTGGTTTTCACACCTGATGATGACTGCTTGTGTTGCAGTCGAAACGTCGTGAGAATTTATTGTTTTATATACATTTTATTATTTTATTGTTTCCCTTCAACGTGACTTTACCGAAAGAACCAAGAATAACAATTATCTAGTTTGCATTCACTGCTAATAATGTGTCGAACAGCCACAATGATTTTACAATTGAATATAGGTCGCCGATTCAATATTAGGTTAAATGAAAACCACTGCTATTAAAAAAAGGTATGATAAAGCATGCCATTCACACGTGGAATAACTGCATTACACTACACCGTGACACCAAAAGAATTACATGTAAAACAATGTGCGCATAGCAATCATATAACTGGTTAACTGGAATCGCTCAAATAAATGTGTAGATGAGTATGTTAATAATATGTAATGTTTACCCAAGAAAGGCTTACCGAGTCTTAAGACGCGTTTTCAGGAGGGTCTTGAATTGGGATATTAGGCCAATTCCATGAAGGAATTGTTTAGCATGTGGTGAGGAAACATGATTACCCGGAGAAAAAAATATGCATGTGAGGGGAGGTCACAGCATTGTCATCTCCTAGGCACCTGGTAGCCCCACATCTGCAACACCTGTAATGCCCTGGTGGTCATTAATCCAAGTACTCAGCACAACCAACCCTGCTGAGCTTCTGCGATCCAGCGAGGTCGAGAGCATTTTGGGTAATAGGGTCATAGACAACATTAAATGTACACGACAGTCGTAGATTTATTTACTGTAGGCCCGTTATGTTGTGCTTCCGTTTACCCAGTAATTCAATCATTTGCCGTGTATTGAATTGCCGTTAACATTGCAAGTGACATTATTGCTGATCTGGCCATCAACTTGATTGTTGT